TGTCATTATGGTCTGTTTGACTATTCTTCGCATTATTTCAACTACAACACTGGTAAGACTTACAGGTCTGTAGTTCGATGGAAGTTGTCTTGGCCCTGTTTTATGTATTGGAGTGACGATTGCATCCTTCCAGTCCGTAGGTACCACACCTTGTTCAAGTGACTTATTGAATATCACGGTCAGTGGGGCTGCGATATATCGTGCAATATGTCTCAGGATTTAGAGGTGTAGTTCATCGTCTTAAAGTCCACGGTGAGTAGGCGGTTTGCTGGTTTTGTATTTGGGTCTCGTTCTTTGTCTAGAAGAGGTTCCTGAGTGAGAACTACCCCAAAGTAGTTAACCATATCCTCTACTTTACCTGATCTTCGTCTATCATTTCAGATTCGCTCCCTTCTTTAATTAGGTTGGGAACCCAATAATGTGTCCTTGTTCTGTAATTTATGTACGAGACTATTCTTTTATGCTGCTTGAGTACAGCTTTGTCTGCAGCTCGTCTCTGAATACTCTCAACCTGGCTGAGATCCTCACGGACGTGTATTCCGGATCAAACCAGTTTGCGTGAGTTTCCTAGCTTCAGGTCTCTTTCTTCAACCGTAGCAAAGGTAACGGTCAAGAGGTGAGCTTTATGAGTACTTTCAGAATCCACCTTTTGTCCTATTCCATAAATCTTACAGATGCTAACTCCTGAAACTGTTCCTGCGAGTAGCTTGTTTATCAAGGACTTAATTTGACTGAGGTCGTGCTCAAACCTAGCAACATTCTTTACACAACCAAGGTGACAATAGCTTGCAGCACCGTTTATAATCAGCCGATGTGAGTCTGGTGGACTCATTGTGATACCACTTATTACAGTCGTGACTTTGCGTCCCATCATCGACAGGGAAACGGCATACCAGTCTGTCACAAGGACGTTTCAATTGCGCCATAGATTTGTTTTACGTTGATATATAAATAAAAACAATAAAAACACAGACTTCTGTAGTTACAAAAAGACTTTAACACCTATGGATAAAAACAATCATCAAAGACAAATAGAACAACGAAGAATAAGTACCAGTCCCTTGTTTTTTGTATCTGTACTAGTAAAATGCAGATGAGAAACTCCTCTAGAGAAAAAGCCGTACTTTTGGGGATTACTTTAACTGAAATAAATTCAATTAAAGCAAAAACAATGGTCTTGATGCGTATTTTAACGATCAATGCTATAAAAAGCACTCAGGGGAAAAATACAACTGTCCTTTTTGAGTAGCGCCCGCGTTAAGAAAAGTTTAATCTTTATAACCTAGAATTTTAGTTCCCTGATTTTGTCCCATAAGTTTCCCTAAATTTTGGGGGGAAACTACGAGTTTTCACATGACTTTAGGGAAACCCTGAGGTTTACCTATAATTCCCCGAATTTAACCCGTAATCAAGAAACTGAGTAATGTAAATGTATTCATAAAATTCAAAGGAGAACGAGAAAGTTTGTCAACAAAACGGACAAAAATTTCTTTAGTGATGTTGTTTATTGTTATAATAATCTTCAAGGACCAATATGATGTGACGAGAGAGTAACGCCGCTGTTCACAATTTGGTGCGTTGTGAAGACTTCAATGCCGTGCTTTTTAGACTAATAATATATCAGCAAAGGAGAATTTCTAGATTTTGGTTTTCATAAGCCTTAAAATTTAGTGAAAAACATTCTGACTAGAGATAATCAGTCCGTATGCAACCGTAATTTATAATTCAATCTCCTAATTACAGGTTAAATTCTCTCAATTTGGGGGGATTCTGAGTAAGGTTTTGTATAAAATAAAATTTAAAACATAAAAGTATTTCCGCATCCATGGTTTTTTCCAAAGCTAAAGATACTCAAAGATGATTTCCCAAACCTTTTAGGATATTTTGATTAATCCTCAATATTTCCTTAAAATAGATCCGGTATTTCCAATATTTTAGAGGAAATCCATTTAAGTTCACTGATACAACCCCAAATTTTCCCTGACATTTCGGGGAAGCTACATGGACTTCCTTGAGTGTTACTCTAAATTTTACGCTGAATTCACTGTGTATGAACGTCTTTCTTCTTTGCAGTGGATTTCCCGAACTTATTGCAATTTCGAATACACCAAGCCATTTTTTTCACATCGCATCTCTTTTTAAAGACGATGATCAACGTAGCTTGCATAAGCGTTCTACATGGAGAAGTACATATACATTTTTCAAGAGTAATTAACATCTTCATGTTCTCTCCAATTAAGATCAAGTTGTTGGTGTGTTTATTACGTATAAACCGAACTTTTATTAACTGTGTTCAAGAAACATAAAAAACAGTTCTGCGTGATAAACATAACATCAATTATTTAAGATACTTGTGGACGAAAAATGCCTAATGTGATAACAATCATTTCCATGGGAATCTACACCGCCGATACCCATAGCGGCACTTGAAAAGTATATTAACTGTGAAAGGTAATGTAAAGATTTTTGCTGAATTAAAAACTTACAGTTAGGTTGGTAAGTACTTGTGAAGCCAGTTGACACGAAAGTATACAGTAAATAGTAATTTAAAGATAAACCGTGTACAAAATTAGTGGAAACATCCACAGATAGTCAATAAATTCCTAACTTCTATTAAGCTTGCCTTTTCGTTGAACTGCTATTCACACTGTTTACATTATTCCTTGCGTAGGGCGCCTGGCTTGCAAAATCCATCGCTTGTTATCTCATAATCGGGACAGGTCGAACTTTTAAACAGTTAACACAGATCTTATAAAAAGTGCTGACTGTAATCTTGACTATTTAAGAGTTGTCCTGTAGAATCGGTAGTTACACCAATTTCGACTTTAGTTCCATGTAAGGTATAAATAATAGTTCAGGCATCGACACGTAAGCTAAACAAGCTGTCATGGACTTCCAAGGATCATTGCGAATAATCTCGAACTGTTTCATCACCTTGAATTTTACAAAAAACTATCAACCTACGGACTGACCACAGAACTTCCGTTCTTCCAATGCAGCTTCTGGGGTACGCGGTTTTTGTGTTCTTAACCGGAATTTTAAAAAAGATTTCAGCAAATAATTCTGTCTTTGACTACGTCGGATGAGCTTCTGATGTAAGTAGTCAGTTAATCGATCTCAGTGAATAAATCAGCAGTCGCTTTAAAAATAATTCGCCATGATACGTTATCAGTGTGAGACCTATTTATAAAATTTAGTATGAGTGCAGTGTGCTCGTTTACACCAGCGCCAGAAGATGGGGGCGGTGTTGAGAACAACTATGTTTCGAAAGAATTGCTTTATGAGCATTTACTTAGTGGATACTTAATTATCTATTAGCGAAAAGTTCCCAGTCAAAATGTTGGCGACTGGAAACTCAACAGGAACATATCCAACCTTCATTTTAGCCACCTCCAGTTTTATAGACATTCACAAGTTGCCGTTCATTCTTCGTTTAACACTCCTGACAACAAATTTACCGCGTCAACTAATCAGTGGTTTCTTGTCAAAGTCGAAATCATATAGCGTTGTAGCACTGCAGATAATACCTTTATTTAGAACCTCAGTAACTCATAGTTGGGAAATTTTCTTAAGATGTGTATCATCAATAGCATTATGGTAGGGAAGAAATAACCTGAAGCGTTTGCTTTTTCGATGTCATCCAAAATAAAACTCCAGTCAAATCATATAATTGTTTATTTACTAAATATGCGTTATTGGGTCTCTCAAGCAACCTACATATGTCATTGTTAATGTTCAAGATGATAGTATATTATCGTCTAGAAATTTCATTTAATCGAGTTTTCGATATCTTCGCACAAACGTTGAGAAAATACCGGAGGAGTCAGTAATTGGAAGCTGTCATAGATGTGTAAATCAATGAAATGAAGTTTTTGAAAGTGTACTAAGGTATAGCTAATAAGTACTACATGGTTGTAAGTTGCAAAATAAAAATATTTTGAAATTTAGGGGGAGCGATCACTTCATACACAGTTCCCGTCATCATCTTCAAAAAAGCAGAAACAAATATTTGAAGTGAATGAAACGAATTTGTTTTATCTCGTCAGGTTCTTGCTAGCTGCTATTAACCTGTAACATTTAAAAATCAAGATTATAGAGAGGGTTAAAAATACTTACAAAAACAATTTTAGTTGAAGTTCATTGTGATCGCATATTACTTTGGCCAGCAAAGATTTGAGAGGTTGGATAAAATTTTAAATATATAGTCACTCAATGTATATATCCAAAGAGTGTTCTATTAGGTTAACGGTAAAAAGTTAGAAACAAGCAGTTACGTAATGAGCAGAGTTAAGCAACGTGGTCTCTGCGCTTATGTTTACAAAAATAGTTTACTTTGGTTATACGGCTTACTGATTTCAGAATAAATTATGCTTATAACTACACCTGAAGAATTTCTGGCTGAATAAATTAGGTTTAGTGCAAAACCAGTCGCTGTTGCATTTATTCTTTATCTTGTCATATATTCCTAGTGAATTAAAGCTAAAATTTCATTCCTTGATCCTATTTCTTACCTTCAAACTGTATTTCTTATAGAAATAAAGTTCTTACCCCAGTTTCTCATTTTAATTTTTCGTTGTTAACCTGATGGTATAGGAATATGAGCTCATACACATTCGCGCTAGGTACTGCGTTCATAACTGACTGTATTCGTGGCTCTCCTTACATAGCACATCTTATCGAACTACGAATGAAACAATGTGATTACAAGTCGCCTTATTTCCTAACAGGATGCTTTTAAGTCCAAAATGTATGGTCATCAACATACATGTTAAGATGTAATCTTTTTCATTTCGTCAAACCTTCACTTTTACTTTGAGCTCATTTTTGTGGTAGGTTTTATCGCATACTTTTTTGTCTTTAGAACAATATTTGAATTTTTGCAACCAATCATGATCTAATAATTTTTCTCTGCAGATGAGTTGGTGGATTAAATATGCACTAGTAGTTTGATCAGATTCTGAATTTATATAGTCCTGCTTATTTACTGGATTGTTCTTAAAATGAAGTTAGACGAAATAACACCCGAAGATAGCCTCGACAGTGTTCCGGAAAGTATTTTATCAAGTCTAGGTAAACCGTTTTTGACTGCGACTTTCTAAAGTTTCTCTTAGTTGGCAATACATATGCTGTTGAGTCAATAAATGATGTCTTAATAATGCTTTCGAAGGAGTCTGGCTTTTCCGAACTATTCAGTGAAAGTGAACAGAAATGGTTCGAAAATTTTAGAAATTTATCAAGTACGTTGTGAGTATTTCCATTTGCTAACTATGTTTTTAATTTTTGAACAGATCTTTCCAAATCATTGATTATTCGCTTATATGGTCGGTCTCAAAAGATTTTCCGAAAATCAGACCTCATGAAAATTATTCCGAATGATATTGATCAGTGCTTAAGAGAATTAAACGGTTTAAGATTTCTTTGTACAGGTTTAGTTATAGCTGTAATTAAAAACCCATAACTTGCCTACTGCTTTAGATATGCAGCCGTTATCAAGCGAAATGTTGATACATGCTCTTAACCGACAGGAGCTGGACCAGTTAGCTGGGATGTACAACATTAAGAATTTCAAAAGTTTAACAATGATTCAGTTAAGAGACACCTTGTTGAAGACTTCATCTGTCTCACCTATGGCTTCATTTTTCAAAGTTTCTATTCAGAGTAAAGATAGACTTAAAGGATTGTAAGTTGAAGAGAGAATTTTGATATTCCATTTTATCTATTCAAAAAGGTTACTTTAACGTTAGGAATAATTTTTTGTTCTTCTCGTTATTTTATAGGCGCTCTTTTTAATAGAGAACTATCTCAAAAATTAAATCATTCCAGATAGCTCTATGTACGTACTCAATAAAATCTTTTGTGTTCGCAAGTTAGAAAGTGATGTGGGAATAAAATGACACCGTCAAAAATGTATCATTACATTGTTTTTTTGCAAACATAATCTTGTTTAAAGAGATTTTTCCAAGTCATTAAGTTGACACATAATTTACTGTCTAAAACTGATAGACTTCATTATTTGTCTAATATATACTTAATTTAAAAAGACGTTCAGCATGGAGTTAATATTGAAACTTATTTCAGTATATGTTTTTTCCTTAGTGGAATTAAGACGGAATAGCTAGTGGCTAGATAACATTGTGATTGTCTTCAAATTTTGCAATAAGAGTGTCAAGTCAATTAACGTGGTTATAGCGTTTCATCAAATTTTAGTGATCGCAAGGTTTTACACATGTTCAGCTACCATGTATGCGGTTTTTCTAGAGGTGCTCAAACCTAGATTTGATAACAATGAATAAATTCACTAAATGCTAGTGGTGAAATGCGGATCACCTAATCATCCGAGAAGAGCACGGTAGTCGGAGGTTTTAGGTGGCATAACTCAAAGTCGGGCAATAGCGCAGTTTTATTCATTTTTTACCCTTCTTTATGTTATGGCCTATACCTCGTCAATTATCACATAACAAGATCGCCGATCAAAAAATAGGCGTATACGACCTTGGACCTGTGCCAAATCAGTGACGCGTTAAGCAGCACGAGCAGCCTAGAGTCAACTCTGAGTCTATTGGTTATTCTCGTCTAGCCCTTCCCGTTTGAGTCCAGAACACAATCTTAGTTTTCACTGTATAAATCATGTATTTCAGATATACACAGTTTATAGGCAGGCAAATCGGACCGCATCATGCCATAAAATAGAAAATAACAATTATACAGGATGAAGCCAAAAGTGGCCGTGATTGTGAAAAATTGAACATAAGCATAATAAATTGTATAATAGTAGTCAATAGGTCAAATAAAAGCTTATGATAAAAGGAATATAAATATTTACAACCTAGTTGATTAATAATTCTACAATACGAAAATATGTTTATAATAACAGTCCGTAAACAATTCCTAGCAGTTACCATTCATTTATTTTTCTTTAGGATATAACACTACATTTTGAACATAGTATTGTTCCATAGTTTCAGTTCCTCGATCCTGTTTTTTTTCTAAGAACATTTTATATGCTTAGTTTCTTACTGATATTGGGAACATTATTTGCTCTTTATCGCCTGTCTTAGTTTCCTCTGTCACCGCAAAAATGTGTGGCTTATTGGACCGATACACGTCCATAACAAGTCTTACGTTGTCTGTTAGTAAGCTATCAACTTTCTAGTCCTTATATTGCAGTTGAATTTTTTACACCATATTACTTCCACCAATTATTTATTTGATTTTTTCAATTTCTTTATTTCGTATGTGACTTAAGTTTACTGTAAATAGTTTCTTTTTTTACCAGACTTAAACTGTATTTTCTCATGTTCCATCACTTCCGTACGTGACACGAATTATTTTTCAGTGTATTTCAGTAAAAAAGCTATAAAACCTAATCTTTTATCTGTCTGTTATCATGAAAACGAAAAAAATTGATTTGCATGTCAACTTTCAATACTTTTTGTGACCATTGTAATGTGGCATCAGTGCTTAAAGTCACCAACTTGTAGTCTGAGTCATGTTGGTAGATGCAGACTACTTGATTGGGGTTCACATGACTATCGTAACCAATGGTTGGAGATTCAGAGTGACATGGCTCAAAATTGATCACAATAGCGTAGGTGCACACGCTCGCTGTCTTCCCTTAAACTATAATATTAAAATTGCTCTATATCTTTCTTTTTACGACCTAATTCTTTCTTGTACTATATCCTTATCTCCGCCTGTAGCTTTTCTAGAGTTACTGCCGGTCCCAAGCCCGGGTAAAGGGGGAGGGTTGGGCATGGGGTTAGCGTTCCCATCACGTAGAAAACTAACTCGCTAAAAAAACGCTAACCAGGAAAAATAATTCAAACCATTTAAACTCTGCCCGATTTGAAGCATATTCACTGAGAATAATTATGACGCCTCATGGTGAGAACCGAGTTCCTTCGGAAGCCACGAGGCCGATGCCCCTTCTAACAACCAGAGCAACAATTTTTATAGGTACATGGAACGTCCGAACAATGTGGGAGACCTGGAGGACCAGTCAAATAGCAACGGAAATGAGGAGATACAACTTGGCAGTACTGATAATCAGCGAAACTCATTGGACCCAAGCTGGAAAACAAAGGCTAAATACGGGAGAGATGCCGGTATACTCCGGTCACGAAGAGGAAAATGCTCCACACACTCAGGGAGTTGCTCTAATGCTGTCCAAAGAAACACGAAATGCACTTGTAGGATGGAAACCTCACCGTTCCAGAATCATCAAAGCATCATTCAAAACAAAGTAGGAGGGGATCACAATCAATATTATCCAATGTTATGCACCCACCAATGATAGCAACGACGACATTAAAAATCAATTCTATGAGCGGCTGCAATCAATCATAGGGAAGTGCCCAAGAAAGGACCTCACCATTCTGATGGGAGATCTAAATGCCCAAGTCGGAATAGACAGCACCCGATATGAAGATATCATGGGACGACATGGACTGGGAGAGAGAAACGGGAATGGAGAAAGATTTGCAAATCTATATGCATTCAACAAATCGGTCATAGGCGGCAAAATATTTCCACACAAAAGTATACACAAGGCTACATGGATCTCAACGGACCACACCACAGAAAACCAGATAGATCATATTTGCATCAATAAAAAATTCCGAAGGACAATGGAAGATGTGAGAACCGGGAGAGGAGCTGCCATAGCTTCAAATCACCACCTAGATGTGGCCAATTTAAAACTGAAGCTAAAGAAGAACTGGACAAACAGTACTACAAATATTCAATACAGCCTTCCTTCGAGATACTAACAAAATCAACGAATTCAAGATAGCTCACAACAACAGGTTCCAAGCCTTACAGGATCTACTGGAGGAAGAAGAAACTACTATGGAGGACAACTGGAAAGGCATCAAGAAAACATTGACTTCAACGTGTCAAGAGGTTCTCGGTCTAAAGGAACACCATCATAAGGAGTGGATCTCTATAGAAACACTGGACAAGATCAAAGAAAGGAAGAACAAAAAGGCAGCAATTAACAACAGCCGAACACGAGCAGAGAAAGTCCAAGCACAAGCTGAATACACAGAAGCAAACAAGCAAGTGAACAAGAGCATTAGAGCCGACAAGCAGAAGTACGTGGAAGAACTAGGAACGACGGCGAAAAAAGCTGCAAGAGAAGGAAATTTGAAACAGCTTTACGATACATCGAAGAAACTGTCAGGGAAATACAGTAAACCAGAGAGACCGATCAAAGACAAAGAAGGCAAGCCAATCACTGAACTTCAACAACAGCGGAACAGATGGGTAGAATACTTCGAGGAACTCCTGAATAGGCCGGCTCCAATGAATCCACCGAACATCGAAGCAGCACCCACAGATCTTCCCATAGACGTCAACCCACCAACGAAGGATGAAATCAGAATGGCCATCAGGCAAATCAAGAGCGGGAAAGCAGTAGGACCCGACAATATACCAGCTGAAGCACTGAAGTCAGACATCGAAGTAACTACAAACATGCTTTACCTTCTATTCAAAAAGATTTGGGAGGAGGAACAAGTGCCGATGGGCTGGAAAGAAGGACACCTCGTCAAGATTCCAAAGAAAAGAGATCTGAGCAAATGTGAGAACTACAGAGGCATTACACTACTGTCAATATCAGGGAAGGTCTTCAACAGTGTTGCTGAACCGGATGAAACATGAAGTAGACGCCCAACTTCGAGATCAACAAGCTGGATTCCGTAAGGATCGGTCGTGCACAGACCAAATTGCAACACTCTACGGATCATCGTCGAACAATCAGTTGAGTGGAACTCATCACTATATATCAACTTCATTGATTATGAAAAGGCATTTGACAGTGTGGATAGGAGGACGTTATCGAAACTTCTTCGACACTACGGAGTTCCTGAGAAGATTGTCAATATTATCCGGAACTCATACGACGGACTACTATGCAAAGTAGTGCATGGAGGACAGCTGACAGATGCATTCCAAGTAAGGACTGGAGTCAGACAAGGCTGTTTACTCTCTCCCTTCCTTTTTCTTCTGATGGTCGACTGGATTATGAAGACCTCGACATCTGAAGGAAAACACGGAATACAATGGACAGCTCAAAATCAATTAGACGATTTGGACTTAGAACTCCTATCGCATACACACGAACAGATGCAGACAAAGACAGCCAGTGTAGCAGCAGTCTCTGCATTAGTAGGCCTCAACATACACAAGGAGAAAACCAAGGTCCTCAAATTCAAAGCGAAGAACAGCAATCCAATCACTCTTGATGGAGAAACTCTGGAAGATGTAGAATCCTTCACATACCTGGCAAGCATAATCGATGAACAAGAAGGTTCAGATGCAGACGTAAAGGCGAGGATTGGCAAAGCAAGGGCCGCATTCATACAGCTGAAGAACATATGGAACTCGAGATAACTTTCAGCCAATATCAAAGTCAGAATCTTCAATACCAACGTCAAGGCAGTTCTACTGTATGGAGCTGAAACGTGGAGAACTACAACAACCACCATCAAGAAGGTACAAGTATTTATAAATAGCTGTCTACGCAAGATACTCAACATCCATTGGCCGGATACCATCAGCAATAGCCTTCTGTGGGAGAGAACAAACCAACTTCCAGCTGAAGAGGAAATTAGGAAAAGACGATGGAAATGGATAGGACATACATTACGCAAATCGTCAAACTGCAACACGAGACAAGCCCGAACTTGGAATCCTGAAGGGGAGAGGAAAAGAGGAAGACCAAAGAAAACATTATGTTGGGAAAAAGAAGCAGATATGAAAAGGATGAATAACAACTGGGAGGAGCTGAAAAGGATTGCACAGGACAGGTTTGGATGGAGAATGCTGGTGAGCGGCCTATAATTCTTCACGAGGAGTAACAGGCGTAATTAAGTAAAAAAGTACTATATCCTTATATACAACTTTTCTTTTATATATTACTACCATTGAATTAATTATTTCTATGAATTCGGTGTTCATCTTATTGTTCTAATGAGGTATGGCAACTTGGACCGATGCATATATGTGCCTGGTTTTACGTTGTCGCTGACTGACTGTAAAGTAAAATTCTGCATTTTTCGTTTGTTTTTGCTTTTTCCGTTGTTGTACTTATCAATCAGAAATATTATATCACAAGATGGTTTCGGTTGTGAATTCCACCATTTCTGATTTGCATCCCTTGTCACTTTATTTCTGAAGTATTCCGGGATGAATATCATTAGGTTCTCTTTTAAAATACTTTTTTTTTCTAAACTGTGCGATCAGCTCGGGAAAACTATGTATCCAAACTCTTATCATACAGTATTATTAGCTAACTAACTGTTCCTAGTCTCTCTATGCTTGATATGATTTTATTTTATCTTGTGAATAAATAAATAAGTACATGAATATTACTGATCTTTTATGTTTTGCCTTCACGAATTTCCTCTTTTCACAGTGAAGCATTATTTGTTTATTTTGACTACCCATTTTAATGTAGAATAACTCGAATTCTTCATGGTTGCTGGTATGTGGACGAGACATACACGCAGTTAATTACTCGATTACTTTGGTTAACGTCTCTTGGTTCTGAATCAGCATTTAATAGACCAAATAAATTGCAATCGATTGAAGCCATTATGAAAGCTGAGCTGTGCGAAATTTTTTTTACATATTTCTTGTTTTACGCTGTTATATTTATTTGTGGATCCGGATTGTAGTTACGAACAAACATAAAATAAGTAATCACTAAAAGATCAGTAAGCACTGAATGATTGTTTTGTGTTGATTCCAGGTCTCCTTAGTATTACTCGCTCGTGACCCATACGTGGTCAAACCAAGGGCTTTAACGTTTCTCCAGTCAACATACTCTTATTCACTGACATTCAATGTAGTATATATTCCGATTATTATGCTATTTAATCGGTAAAATATTGCCTCACCCTCGAAAGAGTTGGTTCTATGAGTGAATACACTCTTTAAATTTGGAAAATTTACCTGGAATTAAGCTACATGGGAGAAAATTTTCGACAGATATGTCATTACGATATCCTGTACGTTTATATGTATATGGAATAACTATACATTGTTATGATCATTAGATAAGTAATCTGAAGAAAAGTAAATTTCAACTAAAAAATTATGCGTTTCTTAGTATTCTTAACATCGGTTACTTTCTGTATACAAAAAACTTGATTGATGTGTGAAAAGACAATCCACTCTGTATGACACAATTTAGTAATGCTTAACTTTCTTTTCTAAACGTAAATAACCTGTAAAACTTAACAGTATCTATTTTAATCACATCATTATCATTCAAGTTAAACGATGTCAGTGACTAAGTACGAAAAGTTTTTTTTCTTAATTGTATTAACATTTAACTTATTATTGAGTGAAAATTACCGGTGTATATTTTGGTCGATCAAATCATTAGGTATAACCATTTCGTTAATTTGGCCGGACAACTCACATATACAGTGATACAAGTATTTGAACTTTCTAACAACTCAAAAAAGTTTTAAGCGATACAACGTGAGATGTAAACAAGTGAAATGTGCGTTTACTATACCCTAGTGGACATTTTAGACTCACATTACTTGTTATCTAGTTAACCATTCCTCATAACATAAATCTTTCCCGTCTTATAATCGCCTCGTCTTAATTGATGAAGACTTCGTGGTTTAACTTTTCTGAGTTTTTCAAAAGTTTTTATAGCTTCATCTCTGGTGATCATCCAACTCAGACAGCTAGTGTATGGTTGTTCGGTATATTTTGATGATTCCATCCGGTCACCTTACTTTGTATACTACTGTTTTTATTTGTAGCTTTATTCCATAATGCACCGGATTGTCGCAGCTTGTTCTTGACCATGCCAAAGTGCGTAAGCTTATAGATTAAGTTGGAGTTTCATTTCCAACTGAAGAACATTGTATCATGATTCCTTCTAATCGATTGATTTGGATTCTAAAATTCGTAATTAGTTCTAATCAGTCATTTTGAAATAATCTACGTCTCATTTTAAAGGATAATTCACTTATATGCTTTTTAAATTGAATACTATACTTGTTGTAAAGTCTTAGTCAAAACTAAATTACAGTCTGTACATAGTGTTGCTGTAAACGGATAATTCATTACTCTCGATTAAATTTATTTTGTTCGTTTCGGTTGATTTTCTTTATTATATTCGTTTTACTGTTTGCTCCTATAGATATGCAATGATGCTTGTCCGTCGAGGTGAACTTGTCTTTCCGTCATATGTAGTCAATCGTAAATCTACAATATATCGTACAAGTGACGAATTCCAAAAGTTTGTTCCATATTTCAATCCAATTAAATACGATTACCTATATTTTCCTCTTTTACTCAAAGGTTTCTAGAATTCATGAGTTTGGAAATCCGATTAGAATATTTAATTAGTCAAAAATCATATGATCTTGCTTTACAATTATGTTTGGATAAGAAAACTAAGTTAATCGCTGAAGTTATGAAGTAAGGACAATCTTTTGCTAATTACACCTTTATTCTGTGCATGTACAAAAACTAACTGTTTATCATTTTCTGCATTCATCAGAAAAGTTTTTTTCATATTTGGTTAGACATTAAACCTAAATATACGCTTTTATGATGGTAGGCTTTACATTACATCTACTATTTAATGGTTATGTGAACTGCCGGCCTAGTATAATAGGTTTTATAATTTCATTTAAAAGTAGGGTGTTTGAAGCCATTCCACCTAAGCCCAGCTTTATTGGCATTAGATTGTGAGAAAAAGAATAAACCAATTCGTAGTCTGTTTAATATTAACTATTTAAATATGAGGTGAGACTGATGGTAATGCTTACTGAGATTTATGTTCAGTGAGGACTCTCGAAGGTTTATTAGTAGATTATGAACTGTTTTGGCGGTAACTCTAATTATTTACATTCGACTTCGAGGTAATATTTGTATCAAGTATTTGTAGTCTTTAAAATTCGTATGGTCACCATCCACAATCAAAACGGTGGCTTTGAGTATGTAGTATCGTGTTTAAAATCTCACTCTCAGTAATTTGGTCTTAAATTATAACCTTGATCATCCTACTTTAATTTTGGTGTCCTGATGGCGTCAATAATCCTCTCACATATATTTATTTCTTGTCATCGTGTAACCTAATGTGTACTTGGCTATCGAGCCACATTGAAAATTTGAAATTTCAAGAAGAGATATAAAACAAATATCCCTTCTTCGGGAATTCTGATGGTTGCCTGTTTTATGGATTGTAATTTGTAACTAAAGTGTCTCATGTGCCGTTTACTAAATACTAATGCTATCAAATATCAATCTAAATCTTTTGTAAAATCACAAGGGCTGTAACCTAAAGCATAATCGCGCAATACTAGCAGGCTAGTTTACAATTATATTATTTTGCTGTGTTGAAATATAAACAGAAAAGTTGGTAGGGATGAAACAAATAGTTGAAGAGCAATACAACGTTCCATACTCATAAAGATTTAGTATACTTGCATCAGTCTGATCGATTTCGACTCGTATCATCTGACGACTAATCAGATGACCTACACTCCTCTGAATAATCCATATAAATGACCAGTAACTTCTTGAACTAACCCCAGTTTTGGTTTGTATGCCATTAACTCCTCAACATTTGTAAAACATTTTCCAATTATTTCATTTAGCACAGATTTTCGTCGCCTTTATAGATCAATTTTTTTATTCGAATTTTTGTGTCTTATCTAAAGATATATATTTCTAGCGCATGCAAGTAAGGTTCCAAAAATCTGTATGATGAAATTTCTGTGTCATTCACCTTCATTAATTGGAGGTAAAGACCGTGCTGAGTGCTACTCTGTGGGCCCTTCCGTACAAAGTTTTTTCCATAACTTTTCTTGGACAAAATAAACTGTTCGCATTGCTCACTTGTTCTTGGATACCTTGATTTTGTCGGCTGTATAACTGTACCTGGTTAATTTTGTTGTTTCAGTTTGTGATGTTAACCATAATTTGTGAAGCCGAAATGCAATTAAAATAGTTTTTATCAGTTTAAAGTAAAAGTTTAAAACAGAAGTGTGTCCATTCGTAACAATAGACTTATTGTTTAGAGCCATCAACAAAGTGAATATAAAATTTCTGAAGAGATTATGTTTCGGCTTTCATATTTCTATATCCTCTGCCATTCATATAGACAGTGGCAAATTTTTTATAAGAGTAGTTTATGCGACCTCATATTATAGTTTCAATCTCTAGTTCCAATAGATCACCAAAAGTTAAGTTACTACTTCCTGTTTCTATAACACTTTCAATCATGGTTTATTTTTATAATAGTTTCCTATAATTGTGTCATATATTCTATAAAAATTTACCCTTGTTTGGTGAATTGAAAACTATCTGATCAACATGTGAGTTCGAATCCGATAGATTTTTTTAAAAAATGTCCATATCCGTTTTGTGTTTATTTTTCATCACCCCTCTTTTCTAAATATATTCTTTATTTCTAATTATATGAACACATTGCATTATGTAATCTTAATAATTCTTAATGAATGTTATTTCAGTTCTTTTTCTAAGTGTCTGACTTCTTATTATGAAATGTTGATTCAAAGTTTTATAATTCTGATCACAACTATTATACCTGTCATCACCATAAATTCTTACTTATCGTGTTTAGTTATAGTCTATTTCGTTGTTATCATTTGCTCATAAACTGCTTTGATTAGTTTAATATTTTTGTATATGAATTTGAATACACTGTATGTTAGAGTGAAACCTGATGAGGATCTAACTGAAGGTAACATTGTTCGCTTATATGTGTTGCCCTTATTTACAAAATGGGAATTGTTAATATTTAAAAATGTCAAGCCATAAATAGTACCACAATGAATAACCATGTAAAGATTTCAGAGAAATGTTGGCTGCAAGCCAGTAACAGTGACATCGCTGTAATTTGACTATTCAAAATACATAAATTTCAATAGCAGATACTACGCTTAACCGGTAATCAAACGATACTGTACAATAGTTTTGTGGATTTATTGAAATTCTTTAAAATGTGTTGACTTTGACTACTCACTACCGTAAACATAACAGCTTTGTTCTTCCAGACAGACTATACCTGATACAGCTTTGGGTTGTTGTATACCAGTCTTCGATATTTCTTAATTGTTGGTTTTCAGTTTCCACGTCAAATATTTTAGTTCACTTTAAACCCTTCTATTTCCTTACGTTTCTTTATCACAAGTGAACTTATTCCATTGTCGAATAAAACGGATTGACAAGTAAAATATGAAGTTGAATTACTCAAAATGTTTTCTTATTACCTCAATAAAGCCCACTTTTTCCCCGAATCAGCTTTGTTTCTTCATTGCACTATTGAACTTGAAAGAATCGAGTAGTTTTTAAAAAGACTGTAAAGACTTTTGATTGCGTTATCTAAATAAAGGTGGTTACAGTAATGATATTTATGTAGCTTAAATTAATCACTTTTTTTCATTTCATTTTGTCGTGTTCTTTATTTGTTTATATTTGTCTTTAGCCTTTCGTTTCGTCGCATTGATCTACCTCAGTTTCTACGGCGTTTCACTTCACCATACCGTGCATTTCGTTCATTGCTATTAATGATCGATATATATGAACGTCAAAGAAAGTATACTGAAGCCATTAAACTAATTGAAACATTATTATCTTTAACTTGGTCATTACATAATGATGACAAATTTTTAAACTTAAAATTAACTGGTTGTGTTCTAGATCAACTTGGTCCTTGTCGCTTAGGCTATCTGTTAAATCGTTATATCATTAATCAAGGCACACATGAGAAACAACCAATTAAAGCATTTAAGTATGTGACTAATTACTTCAAATTATACAATGAATGTCAGTGTCTTAGAGCTGGTCGTCGTTTAACAATTCATGAACAGCTGATGAAATTGTTTGATGGAGTGAAAAAAGAAGAAAATAATCACCGTAGATCAAAAAATGGTCATACTATTGCTGCTGCTACTACCACTACAAATGTTACTAATAATAGACCACCGAATGCTGGTGGTAATAAAAATAATGCTTCTGACTGTAATGAAATAAAAAATACAACTACTCAAGTAAAACGTAGAAGAATTCAAAAACTTGTCAATATTGACAGTAAATATTGTAAGAATAACAATCATAGTACTGAAGAGGTTTATCATACAAATGAAATTTTTATTGACAGTGAAAACGAAGAACTACTCACGGTGATACCTTCGCTTGTGATTGATATCAAAGAACCGCCTAAAGTAAACTTAAGTAACTTAAAATTCTATTCCTTGATATTGTCTGGTACATATTTATTAGTTAATTTATATAAAATTTGATTTTGTATTTAAAATTATTCGATATCTTTTATAATGTTTGGTATTACTCGACAAACGAATCAATTAGTACGTCAGTCATAAACAACGTAGAACGAGTGAATTCATGAATTAAAAAGTATGTAATAATATTAGGACTCAATATTCAGCGTAAAACAAAAAAATGTATGTGTCTGGTGAATTTTAAACCATATAACTCAGGGTTGTCAACCTTGACGATCGATTCCGTTTTTCCTCTCAAGTCTTAGATAGTCATTGACTTAATGAACTGATTACATCTTTTTGCTTATTTTCCCGTTGCCTTCTTTCAATCTACTGCAATGCTCAATTGTACAGTTATTTGTGGGTAGATTATTTACTAGTACTCGAAAAATACGTAGTTCAATCACCTCAGTCATAGTTTTATCATCTGACTTCTTGTTTATACGTTGTTCCCTACTCCAGTCGGATTTAAACTTTGTAGTTCAAGGGTATCAATGCTATTTCCAGATTCAACCTCTTGCGATACCGTGGATGTGGACTCCTCGAAAGTCTACTTACTTTCAACAGTTCGTCATTTCAAGTTATTCTGTATTAAGAATTAACGTCAAACTGAGCTATCAATAGTCTTCTATATTTTTTTGTGTATTAATTATTTTGTATGTCAGGTTGTTACTTAGCCGAAAAAACAGTTTGACAGTCTAACTTTTTCTCTTCTAGTATTGGTCTATTAAATAGATTACATGAATAATATAATTTTCGTGAGTAACCACCACTTTTTCACTTCATCTCAATACAAATAATCAATCATATACCATCAAATAACTATTATACTTCTACTCAATAGCATAGTGTTAGCGTATGAACGGTCAATCAAATAAACAAATCATTTAAATTTTTCAATTTTATTCTAATGATTTTCAAACTGTTTACTATCTTGTGTCTTGACCTTTCTTTTTCAATCACTGTCGTATTGAATAAATATCAACTTGTATCGTGTTAATCATGTCATTATCACTTCTGAATGTTTGATAAAGTAATCATTTCTTAGACCTATCATATTAATGCAATCATAGTAATACTGGTAAATTTACTTGCACATATTTCATATGTGCTTTTAATGTTAATAGAAACAATTATTTAGTAATTCAAACGCCTAACTTTCAATACCTTAATCCTCTTGAATTCCGATCCCCCTTCCATTTTAATTGGACTAGCTATTTAGTTTCGTTTATCTGCATGTAATAAGCTTGGTTTAAAGTTCAGTACATTGATTTATGCCTGATTATTGAATGAAAAGTGTTTTCAATGTTAAATTATCATGATCAAGCAGGTTTTTTTGTTTTTTCTCGAGAATCAAATCGATTTCTATACAGTGATTATTGATTTAGTTATTTCAGTATATTATTAGAGAAACAATTTCCTTTTTTCAAACTGAAATCCTATGAGTATGATTTAGTAATGAGAGGTATACAACTATAATAGATTTATATTCATAATCAAATACTTAAGGATTCCTAGTAGAAAAAGTTTCATCTTTCAGTAAGACATTTTTTTCTGACATAGGAAATTATTTTTATATATAGAGTTTAGAGTGTATTTCATTATAGGTAAATAACCATTTTCAGCATTTTACTTGTGTTTTTTGTCGAGGTTGAAATTACTGCTCCCGTTAATGCATCAGCTAAAGAAATCGGTACACATCGTCCACATTATGTATGGTTTGAAAATACTTCACCGAATAAACTTCAACAACAGCGATCACCTCAAGAATCCAATACTTTGTTACTTACAGTTGAACAATGGACTGTACGCTATTATATGGCTAATAAAAATTTTGAACACGGTAAGTAAAAATGATCCCTTGTTTATCTGACAGCGATTACTTTCCATTTCAAGTTTTATCATCCTGTTACTCTCCCTTCGTCTCTCCGTATATATATATATATATATAATTAGGTTCAAGTGCAAAGAAAGACAGGCCAATATAGATTTATGTAACCGCAAAGATTAGTTGTGTCCTTTGAAACCATGAGCCGATCAGTGTTAGACCATCATCGAAAACCTGAGAGCGCTTGACGATTGTTTCATTTTAGCACAAGACTACTCAGCATTTCTCATCCACGATCCGCATGCGAGACTCAAACCCAGGAACTTCGGTACCCCGTGAACGGTCGTCCAGTGCTTTCAAGTTTTCAATGGGGTTTCTAACACTGACTGGTTCATGATTGCAATGAAATTCAACAGTCTTCATAACCTCATACTGAAAATTACCATTTTCTCACTAGTTATTAGCTTCGAGAGGTAGTTCTCGGAGTTCCATTTAGAAACCGTGACCGTTGGAGTTCAACCGTTTCGACTGTAAGTTACCTACCAAATACAATCGAAGATGGTTGCGCAATATCGTGAATTGGTTGAATTAAATATTAACGTCATCGAATCCTGGCTCAGTGATCGAGAGTTTATGCTTTCGTGCGGAGCCGAAAGTCCTGGTTTTGAGTCCTCTGTGCGCGATCGTGGGTGCAACTACTGTGGAGTCCCATACTAGGACGAAACGGCCGTCCAGTGCTCCCAGGCTCTCAGTGGTAATCTGTTATTGATCGGTCCATGATTTCCATGAAATCCAACAATCTGCATAACCCATTACTAAAGACAGTTGAATTGTTGTTGACAAAATACATTCCTGTTATGTATTTATTTCACACTTTTAACCGGTCAAAACGTTGATTAAGTAAATCTCACCGTTGATTAATTTATCAACTTATGGTATCAAACCCATTTATTAAATTTTATCATTTAAAAATATTAAACATCAAACGTTATACACTGATATGTCATATTAATTTTCGTTTTTGATTATTCCTACCGTTATTTATCAAAGGCATACATTGTGAATCCCAAGTCTATCATCTTTTATTCTGCATACTTTTTTATGATATTTTATTCGAAATATCACCATCTCCACTGGATGTCTTCTATTCATATCGTCAGTCAGCACCATTAGATTTGTTTACAGATGAATTTTATCAGTCGAGAAAAGATTTAATCGATGCTAGATTGCAATGGCTCTTGGCTGTTGACCAATCAGATGATGTAAGCAATTATAATTGGTACTAAATTTCAAATAAATTCACTCTTGTCGATGTAAACATGGGCAATCAGCATGTATAGGTGATAAATTAATCCATTCCCATTTTAGCCTAATACACAAAATATTTACCCATTGTTTCTACAGACGATGCTAGTTCTGATCATTATTTGTTTGAAGAAAGATCATTGATTTAATCCTTTGTTATACCCTAAACAACTATACAGAATAACAATAACAAAAGCTAATAGATAGAATCGTTACCGCAAATCGGTTAAGCTAAATTACATTTGGCGCTATCTTATGCATTTATAATGATCAGAAGACAAAGTAATTCATCAATGTATTTACGTAATTATTCATTTCATGTGAGTCAGCTGACAGAGATTATATTCTCAGATAATACTTGAAGTACTACTCATAAGCTTTCAATTATGAATGTTAATTAAATTATGTGAAAAAAAGAAAAGAATTGAGTTAGTAAGATGTCAATTATTACTTTTATTATTGAGAAATGTTAGAACATTTTGTTAGAATCAATACGATTTAAGATGTTTTCATAAAACAGACTCAATTTGGGGTATTCGACCAATACACTCTTTTATGTGTATGCAACCGATTAAGTAATTTAACGTTACTCATCAAGTACTTTGTTACGTACTAATTTTTTAGCCTGTTAATACTCTCCAGTTGTCAAAACCAGTGGTAGGGGTTTCGTACTTTTAACTGGATATATTTGAGAGACAGGATGTTTAACAAATACTTCAATGAACTTCATCCAACCCTGTATCAGCTATGTGAATCCCTGGTTATTTCTGGGTCATTAGCAACAGATTTTTAAGCTTTAGGAACCTCATATATAGTTAAATTATAGCTTTGGTAAGAATTTCTTCCAAAACATGTGCGCATGCACACGATGACTTTTCTTAACTATATATTTTTTGAAATATTCATTATATCAAGAGATTGTAGATAAATAACTTGAGGAAGAGTTGTCTACGTCTTTATATGTGTGTAGGTGTTTAGATTTTCTAATCGAGGTTATTCTTAGTGTACTCTGTATTACATATTCTTCTAAAACCGCTTCCTTTTCATTGAGAAATAAATAGATTTACTGCTTTCCCTTCCTTTAAAAATTATTTAGCATTCTAATTCTTTGGAATTTCGTATCCATACTTATTGGGAGATGCATAATGGTGAACGCTGTTTGTGGGCTAATTGGGATTTATTGAAAAATTCACAGGAGCTTATAGTGAGTTAATCATATTTATTTATTTTTGTTTCATTTATTTGGTTTCGTCCGCTAAATTTTAAGTGATTTCTGTTTTGTCTTTATATCATTCAACCAATGATGCATTAAGCTAACAATTAAATAGTTACGCAAAAGCTTTAATCCTTTTTTTAAATTAACGTTTAATTTTTAGACTGCCTTTCAGTATTGTGAGTTTAAAGTTGTATAACTGTAAAGCAAATTACTTTAAATCATTCGGTTTCAGGTTGGAACATTTTGGCAATCTCACTAATTCTTTCGCATAGATAATAGTGTGGTTGAAAACTGAGTAGATGAATGTGTATTGTATTGTATTTCTATAGTCAAAAGAATTATAACTAAATGAATTCATTCAATTTATAGAAATATTTTGGGGGGAAAACAGTGCAAAACGACATATTTGAAACATTGATATTTTCTTTATGACTACTACTTTCATAAATCTAAGTGTTTTCCCTTCATACAGCTGAGGGATAGTAATGTGTTCGCTCGTTTTGAAACATTCACATATCTATCCAAAGGTCGTTGAAATTTAGAGTTTCGATAAGCATAAACAGTAGACATCTTTTGACAGTTTTATCTCGGCGAAGGCTACCAAACGCATAAGCACAGGTTTCTGTTAACCTTTATCATAAGAAAATTTGAAGCATTTTTTCTTTGAATGTGGTTTATTATACAACCGAAAGTCTTCTATTTGTAATTTTTTAGTGACAATTTATAGAATAATAGCAACCTCGTAAATAAGGAATTATAGGAATTTTTCATTCCAGGATATATTTTGGTGTCTTGGACCTTGTGTCGTTCACGATGTTTGTTGTAAATTAGCTACAGACTACAGAAGTTGGAGGTCGGGTCTTCCTGATCTTTTATTATGGAGTCCTACAGAAACGCGAGCTAAGGTACGAAATCTTTCTATTTCATTTCAGTTTTCTTGTCATATTTGACGAAATTTCCGGTGTTCTTCCTAAGTTTTTGTATAAATTAGTCTGAAACTTCCGTGTTTGGTCCTATCTAGATCATTATATTATTTGTGTTAATTTATAATAAGTGTTATTTCCTAAGTGCAAGTGACTTTGCAGTCACGTTGAAGACTTTCAAAAGTTTATACATACAGTATATACAATGATTCATCTAAAAGAATAAAGATAAAATGAATGGAACCTTATGTTAGAGTGAACTCATAAGTATAATAAATATCAGATCAAGTGATAAACAATACGAATCTTTAATAAGAAATAATTAATTGGATCAATAATCATTTAAAATGAAACACGCGAACAGAAAAAAGATTCTATCGTACCAATGAAATACTACTTTATATAACAAATTCTGTTAACTCATATAAATAGTCGTAATGAATTCACGTAACTTAATCAAACAATAGAAGACTGTTATTCCCCATTTTTTGTATTTCCCTACTGTTGACAGTTAGGACTGTAATTAATCTTTCATTGTTGATATATGTATAGCTTACAGAGAATCCCCAACATTGCCTTTTGATTACGAGTTTTTAGTAATATTTTGATTATTTATAGCGGTGAAAATATAGGATGAGAGTTTAGGGCTAATCCGTTGGATGTAACTGCATCTCAGTGTTGATGTTTACACTGAAATTCTGATCCCAGTACTTATCACTTCAAAATATAACTTATAACCAACTAAGCTTCTGAATCCAAATACCCACATTTTTTTCAATAGCTCGTCGTCAGGCAACCTTAATTAATGCATATATTTGCTATTTCTCTTTTTTCAAGAGTAAATAACTGTCTCTCTGTGTAAGTCAGTCATATATTATTGAAACCTTTCTATTCAGTTTTAAAGTTGTCTGCTATTCTCTCACCATTGCACTATTGATTCTGTAGTAATTCAGGTAGTTTATTGTTTAAGTTTCAGTTATGAAGATCCTACTTTTATTTAATTTGAGTATTTAAATAATCTGCTTATCGCTGTCATAACTTACTATTATTTATCGTATTTCAAATGTAGATTGTAGAAGTTAAAGGACCCGGAGACCATTTATCCACTCAACAAATAATGTGGCTTGATGTACTTGTCCGGGCTGGTGCCGATGTAGAAATCTGTTTAATATCAGGTAAGTTATATATTCGTCTGATTTTTTAAACAAAGGCCACCACGCTACATTACATTTGATTTATGTATAAAATACTTAATCACAAATCTATAGTATAGTGTTTCATAGTACAACTGTTAAGTTTAACATGGAATTCCGTGTCACCATGTTTGATGCATACCATGAATGGTTTCAGTTTATTCTTAAAACAATTTCACTTTACTGACATTATCCATTTTAAAGCAGGTAAATGCTTACTGAATATCTCATATTTTCCACTTTTGTTCTATCTCACCTTATAGCAATTAAATGACACTTTGAATATCCACTTCATCACTCCGAAATTCTTGAAGACAATCCTTCTGAATATGTAATTGTTTCTTATACTTACTATTTAAAATACAAATGACTGAATAATAATATTTTACAATGTGTGAGATAGTTGTAAATAGAAGAAATATTTTGGCAACGGGATCTAGGACGCGTTTCTTGCTATTTTGGACTCATCGACTGAACGTACCTGCTTTCCAGAGTTAATATTCACATCCGGGTTCAGATCTGAACGCGTCATCCTCCCATCTAAGTGAATCCAAGTAGCCACCTACTTGTACATGTAAAATTGCGATATAATGGTTATATCGAGGTGCCGTTACACACATACCAACCATTACTGATCAAATTCATACCAAACGATATCGTCTAAAAAACTAGCTGAACGTCACCCATCATGCAATCGTTTATCCTATGACTGTAAGCATAGTTGAATCTATTATAATCGTCCAAAACCTTGTTGGTAATATTATTGACTAATATTTCGTTGTCAGTCGACTCACAATGTAGCGCAGTTTTCATCTGATGTCGTTAGTGAGCCACTACATCCATATATAGTTGGTGAATTTTATCACGAGAAAATCAGAATATTCTGTGCTCAGTTCGACTGTTCAGTTGTATGTAGGCGTTACTAAAGAGCCTCAAACTACAATAAAACAATAGCCGTAGTGCTTTTTTGTCTGCCGTTGGCTTTGTATCTTACTTACTTACGCCTGTTACTCCCAATGGAGCATAGTCCGCCGATCAGCATTCTCCAACCCACTCTGTCCTGGGCCTTCTTTTCTAGTTCTATCCAATTCTTGTCATGTCTATTTCCATTTCTCGGCGTAATGTGTTCTTTGGTCTTCCTCTTCTCCTCTGGCCTTGATGACTCCATGTGAGGGCTTGTCTTGTGACGCAGTTGGGTGCTTTCCTCAATGTGTGTCCTATCCACTTCCAGCGCTTCTTCCTGATTTCTTCCTCCACTGGGATCTGGTTTGTTCTCTCCCACAGTACGTTGTTGCTAATAGTGTCCGGCCAATGGATCTGAAGTATTTTGCGTAGACAATTGTTAATAAACACCTGTATCTTCTGGATGATGGCTTTCGTAGTTTTCCAGGTTTCCGCCTTATACAGTAGAACTGTCTTGACATTTGTATTGAAAATTCTGACCTTGGTGTTGTTTGACAGTTGTTTTGAGTTCCAGATGTTCTTCAGTTGTAAATATGCTGCTCTTGCTTTGTCGATCCTCGCATTCACATATGCATCAGATCCACCGTGTTCATCGATGATGCTGCGCAGATAATTAAAGCTTTTCACATTTTTCAAAGCTTCTCCGTGGAGCGTGATTCTATTGATGCATGTTGTGTTGTATCGGAGAATCTTGCTTTTCCCATTGTGCATGTTGAGACCTACTTCTGCTACACCGGTTGTCTTCTCCGGCATTGGTTGTTGCGTGTGTGACAGATGAGCCATATCATCTGGGAAGTCACACAGCTGGATCCCATGGCTCCCTCCGGATGTCGACGTTTTCATGATCCAGTCGATCGCCAGGAGACAGAGAAATGGTGAGTGTAAGCAACCTTGCCTGACACCGGTATTTACCTTAAACGAGTCTGTCAGCTGTCCTCCATGCACCATTTTGCAGTTTAATCCATCATAGGAGTTCCATATCATATTGACTATCTCAGGCACGCAGTATGTCGAAGACGTTTCTTTAATATTCTGTTCACGCGATCAAATGCTTTCTCGTAGTCAATGAAGTTGATTTAGTGATGAATTCCATTTAATAGATTGTTGCACAATGATCCGTAATGTTGCGATTTGGTTTGTACACGATCGATCCTTACGAAATCCAGCCTGCTGGTCTCGAAGCTGAGCGTCTACAGAGTCCTTCATTCCGTTTAACAATACCCAGTTGCAGACTTTACCTGGTATTGAGAGAATAGTGATCCCTCTGTAGTCCTCACACTTGCTGTGATCGCCTTTCTTCGGTATCTTGATCAGGTGTTCTTCTTTCCAGTCTGTCGGTACTTGTTCTTCATCCCAAATCTTGCTGAAGAAAATGTGGTGTACTTTGAAGTTACTGCTACGTCTGTCTTTAGTGCCTCTGCTGGAATGTTTTCTGGTCCCCCTGCTTTGCCGCTCTGGACGACGTTGTTTACAAAGGTCTGGGAACTAGAGAGGGTACCAACGTCATGGAATGAGTCGATAGTTGTCCCTATCTTTAAAAAGGGTTCACGTCGTTCCTGTAACAACTATCGGAGGATAAGTCTACTTCCGATTGCGTCCAAGCTATTGGCTTCCGTCATACTTCGTAGGTTGTTCAAAACCCGAGAAAGATTGACTCGCGAGAAGCAGGCTGGGTTTCGTTCTGGTCCAGGATGTATTGATCATATCTTCACCCTCCGCCAAATGTTAGAACACCTCCATACTTATCAAAAGCCAACAATCGTAGTGTTTCTTGACATCAGGGCTGCCTTCGATTCGTTGGATAGTACTGTTCTCTGGGATTGTCTATTGAAGAAGGGTGTGCCTGATAGGTTTATTAACATCCTAAAAGCCCTATATGCAAACACCTCAGGCAGAGTGAGGGCATACAACCACCTCTCTCCGTTGTTCCATTCGAGTAGTGGGGTTAGGCAGGGTAACGGAGACACTACCACCTTTTATGAAGAAAGTAAAAGGTTACAACATGATCGCCACTGGCTTCTATTCTGAGCCATATCTGATAACGTCTCTAGCCACTGTGTTGCACCATCTCTCGGACCCAAACCAGGGAGTCGTGAAGGACCAACGCAAGCCAGTCCTTTGCTGCTTTCTTTCATGCCACGACACCATGTCATGCACTGACCACCTCTCCGCTTCTTCCAACCAGTCCCAGAGTCGGCAAATAATGCGCGACATGGACTTCTCTGGGAGGGCATTCATAGAACATGTCCAAGTCACCGAAGTCTGTGTTTCAAGATGGTGACACTAATTGCATTATCATCTCTGTGCCCGAACACATGATGCCGAACCTCTGCATTACTGACATGGTGTTGCCACTGAATGTCAGCAATCCTTCGGAGACAACGATGATCGAACAGAGTCGTCTAACGTCCTCAACTCGGGGAGACTAGGTTTCACAAGCATAGAGCAGAACTGCTCTCACCGACGCGTTGTAGATCCGACCTTTTACAGCCAGACTAACATCACGAAGGCGCCAAAGGTGGCCCAGATTGGCATAAGCCGCTCTGGCTTTCACTATCCGTGCATTGATCTCATCACTCACACCCCACCAGCACTTATGATGTTACCCAGATACACGAACTTCTCGACTACTTCTATCTGTCCACCGTCCAGGGTGAGTACAGGATTGGAATCCTGCTAGTCTTGTAGAAGTACTTTGCACTTCGAAGGTGCAAAGCACATACCATACCTACGGACACTGATTGCCAACTGATTAAGTGCGGATTGCATGCCTTGGGCATTATCGCACAGTAAGACAATATCGTCCGCATACTCAAGGTCAAGAAGTCTTTCTCCAGGCAACAGATCCACACCACTATTACTTACATTCATCAGAGCTGTTTCCAGAATATCATCGATGGCAAAGTTGAAGAGGAATGGTGAGATTGGGCAACCCTGCCTAACCCCACTACTCGAATGGAACAACGGAGAGAGGTGGTTGTATGCCCTCACTCTGCCTGAGGTGTTTGCATATAGGGCTTTTAGGATGTTAATAAACCTATCAGGCACACCCTTCTTCAATAGACAATCCCAGAGAACAGTACTATCCAACGAATCGAAGGCAGCCCTGATGTCAAGAAACACTACGATTGTTGGCTTTTGATAAGTATGGAGGTGTTCTAACATTTGGCGGAGGGTGAAGATATGATCAATACATCCTGGACCAGAACGAAACCCAGCCTGCTTCTCGCGAGTCAATCTTTCTCGGGTTTTGAACAACCTACGAAGTATGACGGAAGCCAATAGCTTGGACGCAATCGGAAGTAGACTTATCCTCCGATAGTTGTTACAGGAACGACGTGAACCCTTTTTAAAGATAGGGACAACTATCGACTCATTCCATGACGTTGGTACCCTCTCTAGTTCCCAGACCTTTGTAAACAACGTCGTCAATTCCTTAGTCAAAAAGTCACCACCATCTTTAAAAAGAGCCGGAGGTAAGTCATCTGGGCCAGGTGATTTGTAGCGCTTCAAGAGTTGGAGTTCCTTGCGGACTTCCTCCTCGTTTGGTGGATCAGTCATCACCGGCCATGGAGGGCAGGACAGTCTGGCCGATGTTGCCGGAGTAGCAGGCCAGTTGAACTGCCCTTCGAAAAATTCTGGCCATCGTCCAAGACGTCGATGGATGTTAGTGATTGGCATCCCATCATCCTCGCAGATTGTTTCACTCACACCAGACTTCTTGCTGCCAGTGGCTCGGATGAGCTGGAAGAGCTTCCGGTAGTTACCAGATGCAGCTGCTGCTTCCAGCTCATTAGCACGCTCCGACCACCAGGCTTCTCGGTCCTTACGCAAGCTTTGCCCAATTTCACTACGTAACATCCTTCGTTTATGGTCAAACTCCAGGTCACCCGGAGTAGACCGACGGGCTACAATGAGTTGTAAGGAACCAGAAGAAACCCAGTGCTTAAAAGCGGGACGTTTCGCAAACCCACAACTGACTGTTCCCGCCATTTTCGTGGCGTCATGCAATTGCAACC